TTGACTTTAGCCGTCAGTTGGTTGATGATGGACTCAGTTTCCATCAGCTTGATGTCGGCGGCAGAGACCCGAAGCTTGAACTCCTCCTTCTTCTAGGTAGCCTTGGCCTTGGCTAGTTTTGTCTTCTTAAGTTTGACAACAAAGCCATTGGCCTTGTGGATCAGATCAGTGATGTGTTTTGATTGATCAACGACTATCATTTCCACTCCCTGAATGTGCTCGTCTTTGCGAGCAAGTCCGTCCTCGGTGTTCCTCACCGCCTACTTGTACTCCCAAAAACACTCGATAACAACCCCTATCTACTGGCAAGCTTGAAAGAAGAAAAACCTAAGTTAGAGATGATCAGATAAGCAAAACAAAAGAGGTTAGGATGATCAATGCACTCACCAGCATGTTGTTGTGGATAACACTTTACAAGAGTCTGTTGTCCCTTTAGTCTCGATAAATGGCAATGTCGGCCTTGACCTGGAAACTCCTAGCGATGGCAAAGGCAAAGTTTGGAGACTCAATGATGGAGTCATACTCCAACACGATGCGCCCCCTCATTGTCTGAACTTAGGGGGTCCACTCGAAAGATGATGCCTCCGGCACCAGGGTATCATGGCGCTGCTTGATCCAGGGTTCCTCAGAGGCCTTGGGCTCTTAGTGTCGACAGTCCCTTAGCCGATCGTCCGAGATGGTCACTTGGAGCCTTAGCGGTATGCCCCTCAACGGAATGATGGGGTCTCGAAATTGCTGAGGGTATGGTGGCGGTGGAGGCGATAAAGGCGTGGTCAAGGGGGAGGTAAGACGACCATTGCAGTGCCAGAAGTCCCACTGGCTCTCGAGCACCTTGCTCTTCTCGCCGTCACAACGGTGTTCGTGGTCACGACAGTAATGGGAGGAGGTTGAACATGTCGTCGGGTGAAGGAGTGAGTTCAGTGTCTCGGTCTGGATCGGCTTCAAGGTCTTCCTCCTCTCCCTCTAAAGAAAAATGAGCCTCCCAGATTGAAGGTTTGAGCGACAATGGAATCTAAGAAAACCTAGAGTAGGTGAGATTGTAACCGAGAAGAACGTACGTCGCCCGGGCAAAGGGATCTGCCAAATTGTGAGACCAGACTCTGACCAAGTCTTCGAAGTTGACTTGTGTGAGGGATCTACCTCCCCTATACCCGGGGATATACCTTCCTCCAAGAGCATTCCTCCCATTACCGGGATATCCCGCTCTCCACCAAAGGATTTCGGCTGACCTGCTACTTGGGTACTGCTCTCATATGGTGCTTCGGCTTATATGGGGGTGGGGAGACGACTCTTTCCCCGATGTGGGACAGAGGTAAAGGCTACTGTGGGGGTTTGCCCCGCAGGTCAGCCGAAATCCTTTGGTAGAGAGCGGGATATCCCGGTAATGAGAGGAATGCTCTTGGAGGGAGGTATATCCCCGGGTATAGGGGAGGTAGATCCCTACAACTTGGGACTTTAAGGGTTGATCGGCGTCGATTTTGTATCTGTTTACAAATATAAGACACAAATGGTTAGAAACAGCAGTAAAAAGTTGAGCAGATTGAAACTTTGTACAAAACACGTCTGGATCCCTTGGCACTTTGGGACAGTACAATCCGTCATACTCGGACCCATTTCTTTTCTCTCAACTATAGTCGAGCATGATCAGATCACCAACATACCCCTTGTCTAAGTCCGACATGTGGATCACTAGGTACATGGAGGTGTCCCGAGCCTAAAGGTAGTACCTGTCCCTGACGACTAATTTCAAGTCGTAGCAGAACAAGATTTCGTTTATCCTCAGGTTCACCCCAAGCCGAGCATTGAGGGCAACTACGCCCATGACTACTCTGTAAAATTAACGTCGCAATGAAAGAGGAAGAGACTCAGTTGCATTAACATCCTAAGCAAGAGGGGATGCAAAGGGAATGTCACCCTCCTTCCATGATGGCTTTGGTATAGAAGGGTATCATCTCTACGCTCCATATGTCCCTCATATGGAAGTTAGGGTCGAAAGGAAAGGTAAGAACTAGCTCAAAAATGTGATATTTATCCCTAAAGGTGTGGATGTTGTCTTCATTTACTTCGATTTTTCTCAACCTTCAGTAACCCCTAGCCCTAACAGGTTCCCTCACCATCGTTCAACGTATTCTTGCCATGGGTGAAGTCTAGGAGAAATGTAGAAGAAGAGGAAAATGAGAAACAAATTCGAGATGGTAAAAATACTTACAGATTGCAGGTCTTCATGATAAGAGCTCGGGAAAGTAAAGAAAAGTGCTCGGGAGGAGAAGGGAGAACTCAGGAGTTGATTTCTAAGAAGAGATTTGAAGATGCAAATTTTGTAAATGGCCAAGAGATCTCCTATTTATACCCTACTATGGGATTGGGAATCGAAGAGGCAAATCATCATTTGAGAATTTGAAAAGGGTGGTGCTAGACATACAAGTAACCACCCCTATTGATTAGGCGTGTTCGGCAAGCCTTCACTTTTTTTGCTCCACCTGTCCCACGTCGCAAAGAAAATGGAGGTTGGAGGGCAGTTGACGAGACTCTAGGCGGCTCAGCGGCCCCTAGATCAACACGTGGAAGGATATAGCCGTTATGAAAATTGAAAGGCGCCGAGGAGTGATGGCTCAGAAGAACCAAGTACACAAATTGACACTATCATTTAAGATGATTTAACAGCTCATTTATGGAGATGTGATTGAGACTGAGTTATTAATGAGGCCCTGTATTCTCGAGACCCAAACCGGTTGTCATGATTGTAAAAGCATTAATGGCTATTGTGCTGAGTATATCACCTCGACATACCCCGAGGTATAGTTCCCCAAGCGTTGAACGCTTGGGAGTTGGTTTGAAGCTTCGATCAAAGGACTTAAATGACCAAGGATAGGGTCAGAAGTGCTATGACATGTCCCGAGTAGTCACCCTATCGCCCGAGTAAACTAGGCATGAAGACCTGAGTGGAGAACACTCATAGCTCGTGGGTAAGAGTATAAGTCATTAAATGTTGGGATGAGACTTTAAGCTTTCACATTCATTACTAATTCAGGTATAAATATTTTTCAAAAAGGTGAACAAAGGTACGCAAGACTAAATTGAGAGAAAAGAAACATTGTGCTTCAACCTCCAAACTTATACTGACTTAAACTTTGGAGTGGATAAGTCGGATGATCACCCGGTCCCTTTTCTGATCTTGTGGTTGTTTTAGGTTCATCATCTTGAGGATTGCTACCTCAATCTATTGTAGAAAATCTCCCCTACAATACACATCCTTGTAAAATTCCCAAAATACCATCCTTTGTGTGACACTAGTTTTTTGTATTATTGCCAAAGATGAAGACGACCCACATGTTTCCCAACGACTAATAAAAGACAAAGCATTTTTACTCCATGTTTCATATCCATCAAATTGGCCATTGCTTTTTGAGAGTTGCAACTTAAGTTACCTTTTTTCTCCTTCTACTAGCCACAAGATCACTGTGTGGCTGTGTGGTCCTAAAAAGTCATTTTCCTTTGTAATAATTGAAGTAATTTAGATATAGATACCTTTACTTCAAAGCAACTCTTCATGTGATTTCATCCCCTATTTTTTTTAAAGTGAATGTGTGTGTGTTGCTAGTTTATCAATTGGTCTATTTTTTAATTATTTGGTTTTGGAGTGTGACTCACATTTCTTGCTTTATGAGATCTGGGTTATTTTTATTTTGGATGAATTAAAATTAAAACTTATTTCCATGTATTTTAAGCTAGTGACACTTCATTTTAAATTGAAGAACTCTAAAAATAATTATTTGTTATTTTGAACTAAAGTGCAACAAATAACGAGAATAATACCCATTAGAACTTTTGCATTTTTAGGGTTTTCTTTAAAATTTGACAAGAATGGAGAATGAATAATACAATATGTATAAGAGAATAAAAGACATTTTGCTATGTTATTTTATAAAAAATATAGACTTTTGACATTTGAATATTAATTTTTCCGAAATTCGTAACGGTTTGAGTTTAATAAAAAAATTACACAAGATTATGTGTGATTTTTTAAAGTCTAAGAAGATATTGTGTTATCAAATCAAAATACACTACAAGAAAATCAGGAATTATTGGCATTTGCTACATGCTGGGGAGAGGACGGGGATAGGATTAACTTGAGGGAAATATGGAATTAGGGGTTTTTGATTTGGGGAAGCTTAAAAAAAACATCCTAGACGTTATTTTTGGACAATAGTAAATGACATAAACAACAGGACTTTTAAAGTTGTTTGTCCGCATTTAACCTAAACGCCGATGATCTAATTTATTGATATAATTGTTGACCTAATTCATTGTGACTGTTGGATTCACTTTAGACCCCATCAAATATTAGACTTTGGTATTGATCAAATGATTCCTATGAAACCACATCATTATGTCAATAAATTAATTTAAAATTTTAAATTAAAATAATATTGCTCTTATGAGCAAATACTATTAGACATACATACATCTCTTCGCATTGTAGAATATAAATATTTGACGTAAAATATAAATATATAATTGGACAAATAATTTTCATTAAAATAATTAATAGAATTAAATTACTAAACGATTTATTCATATTAATTTGTGATACAAAAACTAAAAAAAAATTCGAAATGCATATTATTACTAAAACAAAATATGATGATCCATAAAACAATCACCTTTAATTTTTAATTTTTTTTTGATTATTTTCACCATTGACTTCCTACAACCGTCCCATTCCACCAAATCACATATACAAGTACAACACCTACAATTAATTTAAAAACATATTAATTAAAAATATAATATATAAAAAAATAATGTTTAACTAGTGTGACGTCACCCAATCAATAATGGAAAATGCTAAGACAATGCAATGCATACAAAACTCATACATACATAGATTGCATGTGCATGTGTACATGAAGAGCATATGCATAGAAACCAGGAAGTGGCTTGCAAGGGCACTTTTTGTGTCCTTTAAAAGCTGACTCTCCGCTCACAAACAAGACAAGCACTTTTCGAGAGAGAAAAGAAAAGCACAGAGAGAGAAAGATGTGGAGGGCATCTAAATCGAGATCCACAGATTACACGGTCTCTACCCCAGATGACCCAAACCCAGAGCTTGAAACTCTTGAACTTTCAGAGGAAACTATCACCAACCCATCAACTGGGTCGTCCAAGAATGATGATCCATGGCTCAAAAATAAGACCAACAAGAAGAAAAACCAAGTCTTTCTTGAAGGGTATGTTGAGACAGCAGATGAAGATGAGCTGGGGAGGACAAAGAGCTTGACCGATGAGGATTTGGAGGAGCTTAGGGGCTGTTTGGACCTGGGTTTTGGGTTCAGCTATGATGAAATTCCTGAGCTCTGCAATACTTTGCCTGCTCTTGAGCTTTGTTATTCCATGAGCCAGAAGTTTCTTGACGAGCATCAAAAGTCTCCAGAGACTTTGTCCGATACAGCTTCGTCGACCTCAAGTCCTATTGCCAATTGGAAGATCTCTAGTCCCGGTGAGTCTTTTGTGAATTTTCTGCAATATGATTCATTTATTGCGCAAATTGCAAGTTTTTTGTTCATTGGAAGACAGTCATTTTTCTTGGAAATTCTTGGTTTTAGGTTGTGAAAATGGTATGCTAAGGTATCTAGTCCTTGTGAGTCTTTTGGAGAATTTGAATTTTAAGTGTTTTGTTTCCTTGCAAGATAGTTATTTTTTTTTTAAATTCTTGATTTTTGGATGCTAATGTTGTTCGGTAGAAAATTTGGTTTTCTTGTGAAAGCTTTGTGCAGTCTGAAAGTATTTCTTTCGTTGCAAGAGAGTCAATTTTCTTGGAAAATCTTAGAGATTTGTTTTCCTTTTTGAAGCTGGAAATTGCATTAGTTCTTCCAAGAATTTTTTTTTCTTGTTGTTTGGGCTGGTGTGGGGGAATCTTGTATGGTGGATCTGTTTGTTAATGATGTTTTGCCTTGGGTATTTTTTTTTGGAATAAATTCTGTTGATGACAGGCCTATTGCCTCCTTAGGGTGTCTAAGGGGTCTTTTGATCTTAGGTGTTAGAAATGTTTATGACTGCCATATTGGCTATTCATGGTGATGGATATAGATGGAAAAATGAAATGGTTTTTATGTATAATGGAGAATTTGATCTGGAAAATTTGAACCACATTTTGACTTTGATTTTTTTATAGCTTTTATGTTCTGTTGAAGGTGGTTTATGGGTTATTTTTTTTTATGTAAAAGTAGATTTGGGTTCAGTTGTTATATGATCTGAGTAATGTGTTTGTAGAAAGAATGGTGAGCTAGGTTCTTATTGACAGAGGATGATCTGGAAATAGAACAAAATAATTGGTCATTTGGTTTCAAAATTCACATGCTTGTCTCATCTTTAATTTTGACTGCTTAGATTTGATCGAAAGAGCGTTGTTACATGAGCTAGAGAATCTTTAAATCGTAGTTTAATTATGTTAAAAACAAAAATACCAAGATGCATCCCTCACCAATCTGTGGTGGCCATTAAAGGGGGTATGAAACATGTTCTAACTTTCTGTTTCATTTTCACTGCCTTAGGTGACCACCCTGAAGACGTGAAAGCGAGACTCAAATATTGGGCACAAGCTGTAGCATGTACTGTGAAATTATGCAGCTAGAAGAGACCAAGAGTTCTTTACTTTATTCGGTTGTAGGAGATGAATGAACATCTTCTTCAACATGGGAATTTCTTAGCATGGACCTATCCTTTCAAAGGATGAGCCTGCAGGGGCAGACGCCCGTTAATTCTTTACCTGGTGATGGATATGTTGGAATCTGTCAATGAAGAGCCGGCTTTGAAGAAGTAGAAACGAGAACCTGAAGAAGAAGAAGAAGAATGTTTCAGGTCTGAGATTAACCAATACCTGCAGTGAGTCTGACTAATTCACCCAAGGCTTCGATAAACTGTAGAATAATTGTATGCGGGGCACATTAAGAATAAACTTGAATAGCAATGAAATTACATTTCTTCGTCTTGTTCATGATATTACTGGTTGATGTTTGATGTTGATGTACATGTTAATACTCCCTCCTCATCACTAAGCAGTGTTATAAGAGGGGCCTCCATTGGAGCTTATCCACAATCCTCATCTTATCACTTGATGGGGGCTTAAAAGGGCCTTTGGTTAAGTCCTTTCCAAACAAAGGATCAGCTACAAGACCCGTCTCTGCTTGCGCAAAGTATGAGATCGCTATTTCGGCCAATCAATTCTCACCTTAACCTCATCCTCATCGGGGGGTTGAAAGACGTTTTCTCAATCCTGTGACAAATATTACTATGTTTGTTGTGTGAATCTACTCCCCATATAGGTGAAAATTCAGTAAATGGAATGGCAATGGGGTTTGGTGGAGCTGCCCACTCCTTTGAAATATTTAAGAGAGTCTAATCAGTCATGTTGCTTCTTTTTTGTATTCTTTCCCATTAGTATAAAATTCCAGCTATTGTGCTACTTTGATAAAAGGGAAAGATTATGGCAAATTACACTCAGGACATTTTCAACTATGATCTTGATTGCATATAGCTTTCTCAATTATTATATATTTCTTATATTACACTTTAACTATGGTTATTTGTTTTATATTTTCCTAATAATTAATGTTTGTTACAAATTGGATGAAAAGTTCTTTTTCTTTGCCCACAAATTGTGTGATTTTGTTACTTTTCCTCGACAAGTGCACATTTTGCATCAAAAGATAACCTACGCTTGCTTTTGAGGCAGTGTATAGTGAGATTGAGGTCATAGTTGGGAGGATTAAAATATTTTTTTTTGAAAAGATTATGCTCGCATATGTGATTTTTGTTTCTTCCAAATAAGTCATGGGAATTTGCCTCTGCACTTTTCTTGCTAATGTTTACAGTTGAATTGGAAGTACAGTTTACCAAAAAGAATGAACTTGAAAGTGAAATTATGTTTGGAGATTATGTAGTTTTTGCTGTTTTAGATTTTTTTTTTTTTTTTGGATAATGGCCCATCAATTTCTATCAGGTTTTCAAGGCTGCACACAAGCAAGATGAATGGAGAAGGGAATTCAAACATGCCACGGAAAGATGGTGAGAAGCTTGTTTGTGTTTGGTTAGAGTTTGAACAGGGGAAGTAACCTTGGCAAAAGTCTTTATGAAAACTAATGAATGTGGACAATGTTTTGTCTTTCATGCTTTAAATTTAAAAGTAAATCGAATGTTTTCCACAAGTGTTTTAAGATCGGGTTACGTCTCTAATTGGTTTTTCCTCAAGGTTTGGGGTTGAACGATCATTTTATTAATTTTAAGCAAAAAAAGTTAGATACAAGTTATTGATTTGACGACTTAAATGATGGATTTGGAATTAATGAAAGTTACCGAAGTGAAAAAATATCTAGTTTTTGCTGTATGGGATCTACATTTTCGTGGCTTTGACAATTTCCATCTGGTTTGCATTGCTACAACCAGCAAAGATGAATGGAGAAGGGAATTCAAGCATGCCACGGAAACATTGTGGCAAGCTTTGAATTAGAAAGTACATCCAATGCTTTCCATTAGTATTTCAAGTTTGGCTTATATCATTTATTGATTTTCTATTTTGGGTTATAGAATCAACTTTTTTTGTTTTAAGCACTATAAATTGCTTACAAAGTGTTGATTTGCGTGCTTAAATGATAAAATTTGTCTAAAAACGGCTTTCATGAACTCATAATTTTTGACACATGGTAAAATGATGAGTTCTCACATCTAAAGTTTTCAAATTCCTTTTGAAGGAATATGATTAATGTTGTCAATAAAGTTATTTTGGTCAAAGAAGTAACTACTTCTTAAATTAAGTGGTTTGGTGCATGTATTCATGCATGGAGTCATTAGTAACATTCATTTATGAAGTCTAAGAGACATTCATGTATGGAGTCTAATAATCATTCATGAATTTATTTATTATCTTAGATTGCGTACTTGTCTAGGTACATGATAGGAGAGTCCTATAAATTTGAGAAGTGTTTTGAGTCATTGTGTGTCTCATTTAGAGAAGAAACAAAGAGAGAGAACAAGAGAGAGTGTTAGAGAGAAAGAGTGAGGGTTCTCCTAAATACTCATAGTCTTTCCTTTATTAGAGAGAAGTTATTGTAAATCCTTTTGTTATTTTTTTACAAAATTCTCATTTTTTATAGTTACTGTTTCAGTTGTAATTGTGTGTCTGTATTCACAACTTCCTAACAGTGGTATCAGAGCGAGGTTTATAGCCGGGTTTTTTGTGCTACTGTCAGATCTAGTTAGTAGAAAAGAGGCATCTTCAACAATGGCGACAAAGTAGAAAATAAAAAAGTTCAATGGGAATAATTTCTCATTGTGGAAAATGAGAATAAAAGCAGTTTTGAGAAAAGATAACTGCTTGGCGGAAATTGGAGATAGGCCCGGTGAGATTCTTGACGACGGCAAGTGGAACAAGATGGATGGCAATGCTATTGCTAATCTGCATCTAGCACTTGCCGATGGAGTGTTGTCAAGTGTGGCGAAGAAAAAGACGACAAAAGAGATATGGGATACGCTAACAAGATTGTACGAGGCCAAATCACTACACAACAAAATCTTCTTGAAGAGAAGGCTTTACACCCTTCGGATGATGGAGTCAACTTCGGTGATCGACCACATCAACACTCTCAACACTTTATTTTCACAGCTCACAACAATGGGGCATAACATAGAGACGGGTGAACGTGCTGAAATTCTACTTCAAAATCTACCTGATTCCTATGATGAACTCATCATCAACTTAACAAACACACTAGAAATAGTAGTCTTTGATGATATTGCAGCTGTGGTTCTTGAAGAAGAAAGTCGGCACAAGAGCAAAGAAGATAGATTGGGAGTCTCACAGCAAGCCAAAGTTGACAATGACGAGAGGGAGATCAATGGAACATGGCCCCAGTGGGAGTCAAAATCAGAGTAGATCACAATCCATAAGTAAGAAGAATGTCAAGTGTCATCATTGTGGCAAGAAAGGACACTACAAAAGGGAGTGTTGGCACCTCAAGAAGAACGAAGAAGCCAAAGGAAAGGTCCTGAGTCATTAAAAGCTCAGGGTTGTGTGGCGAGCACCTCAGATAATGGTGAAATTTTATACAACAAGGCAACAACAGTTTCTAAAGGCAGAAGAAAATTTGATGATGTTTGACTTATGGACTCAAGAGCTACATGGCATACGACCCCACAGAGAGAATGGTTTCACCAATATGAATCTATCTCAGGAGGATCTGTGTTTGTGGGAGACGATCATGCCTTGGAGATTGTTGGTATCGGTACCATCAAATTGAAAATGTATGATGGTACAGTTCACACCATCCAAGAGGTATGACATGTGAAAGGTCTTAGGAAAAATCTATTGTCTTTGGGACAATTAGATAATAGTGGGTGCAAAACCCATGTTCAAAATGGGATCATGAAGATAATCAAAGAAGCACTTGTGGTGATGAAAGCGGAAAAGATAGCTGCAAATTTGTACATGCTTAAAGGAGAAACACAACAAGGAGAGGCGTCTATTGCATCAGCAAGTTCGGCAGAAGAATTGACAATGACGTGGCACCGCAAGCTTGGCCACATGTCAGAACGTGGTTTGAGGATTCTCGTTGAACAAAAGCTTCTTCTAGGACTCAAAAAGGTTTCATTACCCTGTTGTGAGCATTGTGTTACTAGTAAGCAGCACAGATTAAAGTTCAGTAGTTCGAGTGCTAGAAGCAAAGTTATCTTAGAACTGATCCATTCCGATGTTTGGCAAGCACCAGTTATGTCCCTAGGAGGTGCAAGATACTTTGCATCTTTTATTGATGATTACTCTAGGAGATGTTGGGTGTATCCAATCAAGAGGAGGGCAGACGTATTTCCAGTTTTCAAAATATTCAAAACGTGGGTGGAACTTGAATCTGCAAAGAAGATCAAGTGCTTGAGGACAGACAATGGAGGAGAATATAACAGTGATGAATTTGAAAGCTTTTGTCAACAAGACGGTATCAAGAGACAGTTCACAGTGGTGTACACTCCACAACAAAATAGAGTAGTAGAGCAGATGAACAGAACCTTGTTAGAACGAATAAGAGCAATGTTGAGAACTGCGGGGATGACCAAGTCATTTTGGGCAGAAGCAATCAAGACCGCATGTTATGTGATCAATCAGTCATCATCAATCACAATTGATCTGAAGTTGCCAATGGAGATGTGGACTGGTAAACTAGCTGATTATTCTCGCTTACATATATTTGGAAGTCCTGTATATGTTATGTACAATGCCCAAGAAACATCAAAGTTGGATCCAAAATCCAGAAAATGTATTTTCTTAGGGTATGTTGATGGAGTCAAGGGGTACCACCTGTGGGATCCCACTGCCCATAAGGTGATAATTAGCAGAGACGTGATATTTACTGAAGATCAAGAAAAAGAAAATGTGTCATGCCCCATCCCAGTCTTCCAGGGATGAGACACGACTAGGTCTTTGATACTCCTGTTTACATATATATATAATCTAGATTAATAAAACACTAATTAATCTTACAGGTGCAACAATACCACCCATCACCTTAGTCAATAAGCATGATGATAAATCTGTCTCATAACCTGTACCAATTATTTGTTTTGAGGTTATAGACAGATACAAACTCACACACCCATATGACATATATCACAAAGTATGACTGTTAAGTCTATTTACAAATATACATTATTAAACTGCTATAATAATAATATTTTACAAATATAATACATAATCCAGAAATTAGTCATACTGACACTCAATCTGAGTGATATCACACTATCGTTGTATAAGACTCAATCGACTAGACAGTGGACTGGTCTGTATCCTCCTCTACAGTACCTGAAAAGGAAAAGCTGTAGGGGTGTGAGCTAAACCACGCGTTCAGTGAGTATATATGTTGTATATGAAATGAAAATGATAGTAATACACTGAAGTAGGTAAATACTACGTAGATACACGTATCAAACAACAACATCAATCCAATTCCAAAGAATTCACAAGCCACATTACATTCATACTACCCTCATCGGGTAATCGATCCCACATGGATCTGTGTCTCCCGAACCTCCCGGGAACACCATAGTGCTAGCACATTACTGCACGCCCAGTGACCAGGCATCGACGCCCTTGTCTCAAACTGTGCGTCACATTCCACAATTCACAATACACAGTACAAAACATCATCCAATCACATAAGCACGTCACACATAATCTTGGAGAATTGCTATTAAATTCTATCATTTACTATCATAGTATAATAGCATTTCCAAAACATATAAAGGTATACACCCACCTCAAGTGTACAGAGCTACGACGAGCCTCCAGACCTACCAGTGAATTCCTTCGGTGTTTCCGTATCTGTTTCAATACCAACTGTCTCACTTGTTCCACCTTCCTTGCTCACGGTTCAAATAGACCCACGTGCGTACATTATTTTTTTATTTTTTTCCCGTTCTTCTTCTCTTGCTCTCCTGCTCACCCTCACTTTCGCTCACGGTTTCTGTAAAGAAACCAGACTCACACACACACACACACAGCTTTATATTTTGATCACACACACACACACACACTAGTCCATAAATTAAACATACACACACTTCTACACCTATTCAAACACACACACACACGTCACACACCCACACATACACTTGAAAGGCCCACCACCAATGCATGACACATATATGAAGATATTTCAATCAACTTAATTAATTCCACTTGCCTCCCCCCAAATTCTTAAGTTATTTCAAAATCAACTCAATACCATTTTCATTCACAAAATTCTATATAATAAATAATTCCACCTAATTGCAATTAGTCCACATAATTATGCTAATATGTATGAAATGCATGATTGGGTCTCACAAAATGATAGCACTACAAAAGAGAAACCAATGACTACTACAATTCAAATTGAAAAACAAGAAGTTCGAGGTTCTTCTAAAGCAGCACCAGAGCATGAAGAACAAGCTGAGTTTGCAACTCCATAAGTTTGACGATCAACTCGGGAGAGGAGAGAACTAGCTTGACACTCAAAATACATTATGGAGGAAAATGTTGCATACTGTCTACTAACAGATGATGGAGAGCCATCAACTTTCCATGAGGCTACAAAAAGCCAAAAAACTTCCTTATGGATGACAGCAATGCAAGAAGAAATTGAAGCTCTCCATAAAAACAAGACATGGGATCTTGTTCCACTACCACATGGAAGGAAGGCCATCGGGAACAAATGGGTCTACAATATCAAACAAGATGGCAATGACCAAGTGGAGCGGTATCTTGCTAGATTGGTGGTGAAAGGATTCGCTCAAAAAGAAGGCATTGACTTCAACGAGATATTTTTTCCTGTTGTTCGACTTACAAAAGTTCGAGTAGTTCTAGCACTGTGTGCTACATTTGACTTTGTGCTTAGAGCAGTTGGATGTGAAAACTGCATTTTTTCATGGAGAACTTGAAGAAGAAATCTACATGCTCCAACCATGAGGTTTTGAAGAAAAAGGAAAAGAGAACTTGGTTTGCAGGTTGAACAAATCTCTGTACGGTCTCAAACAGGCGCCGAGGTGTTGGTATAAGAGTTTTGATTCCTTCAATATGAGCCTTGGATTCAACAGACTCAGTTCAGATTCTTGTGCTTACTACAAGAGATTTGGTGATGAGGATTTCATTATTTTGTTGTTGTATGTTGACGACATGTTGGTAGCAAGCCCCAACAAAGATCATATCAAAGACTTAAAGGCTTAATTGGCTAGGGAGTTGGAAATGAAGGACTTGGGACCGGCAAACAAGATTCTAGGGATGCAAATTTACAGAGACAGACATAATAGGAAGATTTGGCTTTCTCAAAAGAATTATTTGAAGAAAATCTTGCGACGCTTCAACATGCAAGATTGTAAGCCAATTTCTACTCCTCTTCCTATTAATTTTAAGTTATCGTCAAGTATGAGTCGTAGCAGTGAAACAGAGAGGAAGGAAATGTCTCGAGTACCATATGCATCAACAGTGGGTAGCTTAATGTTCGTTATGGTTTGCACAAGACCAGACATTGCACAAGCAGTAGGAGCGGTTAGTCGATACATGGCGAATCCTGGTAAAGAGCATTGAAACACTGTAAAGAGAATCTTGAGATATATCAAGGGTACCTCAAATGTTGCATTATGTTATGGAGGATCAGAATTTACTGTCAGAGGATATGTTGATTCAGATTATGCAGGTGATTTTGACAAGAACAAGTCCACCACAGGTTATGTGTTTACTCTTGTTGGAGGAGTTGTAAGCTGGGTTTCAAAACTGCAATCTATCATGGCCACTTCAACGACGGAAGCATAATACGTTGCAGCTACACAAGCTAGCAAAGAGGCAATCTGGTTGCAAATGCTATTGGAGGATCTCAGACACAAACAAGAGAAGATTGCTCTGTTTTGTGATAGTCAGAGCGCTTTGCACTTAGCAAAGAATCCAACATTTCACTCGAAGACAAAGCACATACGAGTTCAATATCACTTCGTTCGTGAGAAGGTGGAAGAAGGAAGTGTGGATTTACAGAAAATTCATACTAAAGGCAACCTAGCAGATGTTCTAACAAAGCCAATCAACAATGACAAGTAGAAAAGATAGAAGGATGGCAAAAGTGACTTTAAGTGGGAGAAATGTTGTCAATAAAGTCATTTTGGTCAAAGAAGTAACTACTTCTTAAATTAATTGGTTTGGTACATGTATTCATGTATGGAGTCATTAGTAACATTCATGTATGGAGTCTAATAGTAATTCACGAATCTATTTATTATCTATGGTTGCGTACTTGTCTAGGTACATGATAGGAGAGTCCTATAAATTCTAGAAGTGTTTTGAGTCATTGTATGTCCCATTTAGAAAAGAAACAAAGAGAGAGAACAAGAAAGAGTGTTAGAGAGAAAGAGTGAGGATTCTCCTAAATACTCATACTCTTTCCTTTGTTAGAGAGAAGTTATTGTAAATCCTTTTGTTATCTTTTTACAAAATTCTCATTTTTTATAGTTACTACTTCAGTTGTAATTGTGTGCCCATACTCACAACTTCCTAACAATTAATTCTCAAGAGAGGGGTTTGGAACAAAAGTTTGGTCATTGTGACTTGTACATCATAGGTTTTGATGATGCACAAAAGTGTTTATTGAAAATCAATCAAGTATGTAATGGAGTATGCTTAGCACAATCAAACACGGATTAAATGGTTTAGTCTGAATGACCTACTCTACAAGGAATGACTACGATGTCTGGAGAGTTTTATTACTCAAGGTATATAGAATGTTGAGAGATGAGGGATGCCCCTTATGTGTAGGTGGGGTTTACAATTTATAGACAAGTAATGTTTTATAACGGCTCTGAGTGAGCCCTGAATGAGGCGTCATTCTCGTAACGGGGGACGGAGTGGTTCTATGAGGCCGGTGTCATTCCCGTAACAAACGAGGTTATTCCGTGAAGTTGGCGATATACACTTTGATGACTATGTTCCATAGATTTCCTTTTCTAAAATAGAGATCTCCATGTACGCTGGGTAATAGACTTGGTCTTTTAGGAGAGTAGGCTTGACCCAATTGAAATTATGACTGAATCTTTGTTAATCTGTATCTGTGATTTAAGTATAGTTTAGATCGGGCCCATTAGGATTGAATTGTGAAAACAACTTGAATAGAAACCTGGGTCACTAGACTATTTTTTTTTTCAAATTAGGATTAATTTTGTTTTTACCATCAAAGTTTACAATAATTCCCTATTTGGTCCAAGTTTACAATATTCTCACTTTGATCCTCAAATTTCTTTTACAAATTTTATAAACGAACCAAGGAAAATTTTCAATTCAATCCGACTAAAAACATAGGAAAACATAATTATGTGTGGTGTAATATACACATGCTCTTTTGTTTTATAGTGATTTGTATTTCTGTCAAGTTTTTGACGAAAGTTATATATTAGATAGAAATAAAATTGTTAGAAAGTTGAAGGGGAAATTGAGAAAAAAAATTAAACGATCAAAGTGGAAATCATGTGAAACATTGAGGAAAATGTACTCAAAAACCCTAATTTTGATCAAATTAGATCCCAACAAAAAACAAGAAAATTGAAAAAACCGTTTTTCCCAAACAAACGAATCGGTTTGACCAACCGGACTGGACCCGGCTTAGAGAAACACTCCTAGTATGCATCAAGACCTCTCGTTTATGCACGGTCTAAAATCTCAATGCTCTCCAACACCAGAACCAGGCATGGCGCCCTTTATCTCTGTTCAAATCTGTGCAAAGTCTTTATTGCTTCATTTTCTGGAAACCCTATTTCCACTACTCACAAATTAACCTTCCAAACCCCTAAACCCATTACCCAAGAACCCACTCAAATTACCAAAAACCTCAGCTTTGTCCCCACTGTCTCATCAACTGAAGTCTCAAGAATTCCAGATTCTGTAAGTGCTTCTGTTGCGAATTCAATCTGTTCTATACTTTCTAATCCTGGTCCTGAAAAAAGCAACCTTGATACTTTACTGAATGACTTCAAAGACAGGCTTAGTTCTGGACTTGTTCTGCAAATTTTGATGAATTATAAACAGTTGGGTAGGATCAAGACATTAGAGTTCTTTTCTTGGGCTGGACTGCAAATGGGTTTTCAGTTTGATGACTCTGTGATTGAATACATGACCGATTTCTTGGGTAGAAGGAAGCTTTTTGATGACTTGAAATGTCTTCTGATTGCAATTTCATCGAATAATTATCAAGTTTCGTGTAGGGCATTTGCAATTTGTGTTAGATTTTTAGGTAGGCAAGGGAGGGTTCAGGAAGCCCTTTGCTTGTTTGAAGAAATGGAATCAAAGTTCAGATGTAAACCCAATAATCTTGTGTACAATAATATCTTGTATGTGCTTTGTAAGAAGGAACCTTCTGGGGATTTTGTTGATGCTGCTATTACAATTTTTCGAAGGATTGAGTCACCGGACACATATTCATATAGTAATATTCTTGTTGGTTTGTGTAAGTTTGATCGATTGGAGACTGCGCTTGAACTTTTTCAAGAAATGGGTCGAGCTGGCTTGGCGCCAACACGGTCTGCCATTAATGTTCTTATTCGGGAGTTGTGTTCATTAAGTTCAAAAGAGGGAGCTATTGGGGAAGTTAGAGTGAATCATCCCCGTAGGCCCTTTACCATTTTGGTTCCTAATGTTAGCGCAAAGAGTGGAGCTATAGAGCCCGCAGCTGGAGTGTTTTGGAAAGCTCATGAATTAGGTTTATTACCAAGTGCATTTGTTATTAATAGGCTCATATCGGAGCTTTGTAGGATTGGGAGGATGGAAGAAGCTATTGGTATTTTGAATGTTGTGGAAGAGAGGAACCTGAGATGTTTGGAAGATAATTACACATTTGTGATAAAGGCTTTATGTGACCATCGTCGGGTAGATGAAGTTAGCCAAATATTTGGAAGGATGCTTTCGCAGGGCTTCAAGTCAAAGTTAGTGGTTTACAATTCCATAATATGTATGCTTTGCAAGTTGGGTAGATTGGATGATGCTGACACCGTTTTTAAAATTATGAATAAGAATAGATGCCTTCCAGATGTTGTGACCTATACTGCATTAATACATGCTTATGGTGAAGTACGGAACTGGGAAGCTGCTTATAGCTTAATAATTGAAATGTTGGGATTGGGCTTGTATCCACATTTTCACACCTATAGTTTAGTGGATAGACTATTGAGGGTACATAAGCAGATGGATTTGTCTATGAAATTGAAAGGAAAAATGGAATTGCAGATCTTGCTGAAGCATTGCAAAGAAGGCCAATTAGAGAAGGCTTATGAAATTCTGAGATCAATGCTTGAAAAGGGAGTGCATCTTCCAATCTACATAAGGGATGCTTTTGAACGTGCATTTCAGAAGTCTGGCAAGTTGAAAATAGCTCATAAATTGCTAGAGGGGAACAGGGATGTTATCTGCAAACCCAAGGTGGCAGAAATTAGTAGTTCTGAGCAAATATGACCAACCAACAAGGGTATTTCTTTCGCACCAGATAATTTAGAACATTGTTTCGGTGAGAACATGTCAGAGGAGTGCTAATATATATTGACACATCTACATTAATTTGTTTGTGTGATACTGGATAAGACAGATTGTTTGCATATATTGCTACTCAAGTTTACGATATCACTTCTTGCTGCTATATAGTATACCTGAAAAAAAAAATTAACAGAGCCCTTTATTGAAGTAGCCTGGTTAAGTTCTTCGGAATTCTGTACATTAGGCAATCCTTGGAAGAGAGACAAAAGGACTTGTTATACCAGAGTCCATTGCAGCATCTTATAAGAGGGACTCACCACAATAATGTTTAGGTATTTGGATGGAATGGGGTGGCATTAGACAATCTATGGGTCTGTATTTGATGAAATCCTCAGTTTTTTTTTTTTTTAAAACAATGAAATGTGTTGGCCATTTCCTCAGTTGAACCTCAGTTGAAGCGTCTAATTTTTGTAGATGTGTTGATAAATGTGTGAGCCATTTCCTTTTTCTTTTTGGTTGATAATAATACTTAAGCACCCATGTTCCAATTAGGAACGTAATCCTGCATAGGGGTTGCAGGAGATGTAACTCAACTGGTAATGGATAATCATGCTTTCTTTCTCGTCATATTTGTTGGCGTGATCATTTATGTTGGTCTTGAGGAGGTGCAACAAGTCTCTCTATGTCTTGATGGAGTGTTTAACTGGGCCGACCCGTGGGCACTTGTTGCTGAGCTAGTTAAATGAAGTTGTGCATTTACTAACAATTTAAGCTTTTGGTGTAACACTAAGCACTTCAATCCAACAATTGGTAGCAGAGCAAGGTCACCAGTTCAAGTTCCAAGATAGCTGCTGGGGGGAAAGATCATTGGCCTAGAGGAGGTGCAACAAGTTTCCCTGTGGAGAGTTTAACCAGCCCGACCTGTCAGCACTTGTTGCTGAGCTATATAAAAGAAAGAAGTTGCGCCTTTACTAGCAGCTTAAAATTTTGGTGCAACGGTAAACGCTTCGATCCAACTATTTATAATGAATGTTTCCAAAGAATATGGTACTTGACTACTTAATTCACTCCTCTTGTTGTACGGTGCTTGTTAACATGTTCCAGCTATTGTCAACAGCTAAACATTTTACTGAATGAAATAAGGCTTTTTGGTGGGGGTAAAACTCAAGATCAACATCCAAGTCAATAAGACAAATAGATCCAAGGTAGAAACATTGAAGTTGTTGAGTTGTCATGCTTCAATATTTGCAAGAGCATTTCAGGAGCTCAATGTGATTGGGACGTTAAGACACTTTGATCTTTCTTTTTAGCTTTGTCTTTCTTCTTTTTGATCTTTTACTTTTTTTGGTAAAGGCCACTTTGACCTTGCTAACAACATTGCCATGAACATGGATTTTTGACCCTGTGAGGAATTATATTTCTTCTCAGCTCTGTATAAAAGCTCATTGGCAACATGTTGAACATAATCCTGTAATAGGTGCTTATCTATTTTGCGGTCCCCTAATCTCTATATTTGAAATGGACTTTGTCTAGAAATGCTTCTCTGTTAAGTATTTTGGATTGAAATAAGCAACTGTTTCAGGATGCCTGAAATCATATGATGAAACTGCTGCATTAGACAACTTGATGCCCAATAAATTGGTATCAACTTTATTGGTGCTCTTATTTTTTTGGATGTTCTTGCAAGAATTGGGTTCAGTGAGTTAAGGGTTTGTATGTTTCTTGGAATTTGTAGGTTTATTGGCAACTATATGAATAATAGTATTTCCCAAGAACTGCATGTTGGTTTTTATTTTTTTTTTTTGACTATAGTTGCTGCTTCTCCAGTAGATATTGATGGTATTCATGAACTTGTTTCTGCATCATTACTTTATGAAAACAATTTATCAGTAGGAAAACAAAAAAGACCGTATTTTTTGCCTCCTTTAAATGTCGATATCATTTACAAACTCTTTTTAAAAAAAAAAATAAGAAAAGATATGTTAGGAAGACATTTTGTTTACATTTTTTAGGAATTTTCCTATGGTTTTTTATTCACCTTGTTATATAGTTGCCGGTGATTTTTTCCTTTATTATTTTGTTGCAAAAAAGGTAAAAGCTTGCATTCCAAAACACTCAGAAACATTGCAACTGTGTACGACTCATTTTAGCTCGATTTAAAATCTAGGGGAAAATAAGGGGAAGAGAAGGGAAATTGTCAAATGTTACTTCAAAAGGAATCTATTTATTTTTTAAAAAATTGAAGGGGTTTTACTTTACATTTTCTTTCCCTAGATTTTACCAGAGCCTTAGGGTATAATTTTTTGTGTTCAAAAATCAAATACATACTTTATTCACCTGTGTAATGTGGCCATAAAATAATTCATGAAGTAGCTTATCAATATTTCCTGATCCATGGGTGAAAGGCCCCTTTGATTTCCTTGATTCTTCAACAGTTCCATCCACCCATCTTGAAAAAAATGAGAAACCCTATAAATTAAATTGGGTTTAAAAAAAGAAAATTGAAGGGTGAGTTTTGAGACAGTGGCAGGATATCAGGTACTGCTACCACACAACACCTTGGTAAGTGTTTTGTTCAGTGAAATTCAACTGCTTGTCATGGTAAGTGCAATGCTAGAATTTATTAAACATTGTTGGTATCCGGGTTTGAATTTCGCCCATGTGGGCACGACCAGAATAAGTTGGGGATTATTTGAGTTCGAAAAGTGAATGACCTAACTGTGTCTGAGTCATTCTAAAAAACAAAGATTGTGGCTGGCTTGCTGTGACTAGAAAATCTCTCCATTGTTGTGAATGGAATCTTGGGAAAAAGGCTTTGGAATGGCGGAAATCCGGGTGTGATTTGTATCAAAGTCGTGTGCTCATGATGAAGAAAAAGATCACGAGCAGAAATCGAACCTTTATTATCAGATCAATTTCATTCAGCTTTCCCATTATTCAGATCATGACTCTTACCCTGTTCTCCATTGAAAGAGCCCATGAAACAATATCAAAAGACCCTAGAATCATTGTGTTTGATCTAAACCGGATGTGGGGATATTTTTTGTATCTTCCTTTCCACACTCGCAAAAAAATATTGATATAGAAATTTTCAATATATTCCCGCTACTGTATTTTACATCAACTAGAGAGAGAGATAGAGAGAGAGAGAGAGAGAGAGATGGTATGAATTGCTTATTTGTCCAATACTTCCACCACAGACTGGTAAACAAGAAACCACAAAGAAAGACCTGTATAAGACTATGCCTATGGAGCACAGCAGTACAGTTAAGCTCAAAACATAAACCAAAATTATATGCAGCAAACCTTGACCCTCTCGAATTTGAAAGACCCAGACTCTTTTAGCATGTCCTGCAAGGTCAGTGAAGAAATCAGACAAAAAGGTACAATTAAAAGATGAGGTCCCGAATTTATCAGTAGCTTCTAAGGCTTTCTCTTTTCCTCTTATGGGAAAGTCATTTCTTGCTGAAGAAATTCAGGAAATATTCAGGGGGTATTACCACATTTTTGTTTGAATATTATTCAGATTAATATTGATGACAATTTTGTCATTATTTTCACAACATAACTTTTTAGTTTAATTCTTTTTACTCAGCAGAGATCTCTCACAACATTTAACCTAACTTTCCTATCTAATTGTTCTTTTGCTACTTCAATGGTTTTCCCATTTTATAAGCTTGGATGGATACGACTAAGATACCCCCCAACTAATTTTTCGGTAGGTACTGGCTTTTCTAAAAAAAATAAAGTTGAAGATACAAAGTCAAGCAGGTGAAGTTAATACAAAATGGAATTGTTTGGGAGCAATCCTAACATTTTAGTGTCAATCCTTACATATAGGATGTTACCATATTTAAGATCGGTCATTCTAACTTTTTTGTTGTAACTTGAACCCGTTGAGCAATAACATGACCCAAATTAGTTGTAAATAACACTTATTTAGCTATAACCATTGGCACTATACCTCTTTCGCAATTGTAGTTGAACCCAGCTTGGACATGTGCTATTGGAGGTAACTGCATCCAAATAAAAGCATTTTATTATGCAGGTTTATCCATCAAGTGTGCATTAGCTGTCCGAAACACTAACTAATTCATCATCAACTAACATTCTTGTCTTGAAACATGCACATTAATCTCACGCTTGTATCCGTGACAAGCAGTTTATAAACATTAATCTTGTGGTTTTAGCTTACTTCCTACATGTTCTTCTGCAAATAAAACAAAAAATAAAAAATAAAAAAAGAACAGTATGAAAGAACATAAGTTCATTGGTATTTTGTCATTTTTGTAAAACATGAGAGACAAAATAAGAGCCAGCGATGTCTTTGCTGATTATGCAAATATCACCAAGCCATTTGAGCTATGACAGGATTGACCACCTTCATCATCACTGTAACCAACGCCAACACTATCCACTGCCACTGCCACCACTTGAAGAATGCATATTGTGTATCTAATGTGTCTATAGCAAATTAAATTGGTAGAAATTACCTAAATTTGTCAAAGAGAGAATATTTATGTTCTGCTAATATATTTTTTGTGACTATATGCAACTAGCAGGAAGATGTAAATCATAGAAACATACCCAAAGACAGGTACATGATCATATCATCATGCTTCACAATTGGACTCTGTGAGCCACAGTGATCACCATGCGGTCCATGCAATTTGGGAATTCTCACCTTCATTCCTAATTGCTCACAAAGATGAAAAACAAAAATTTTCATCTGCTATTAACTTTGTACACCTGGAGCTTGGTTGAGTATGAAATCCAAATTTCACAGCAAGTTCGTATAGCACCTTTCACCTTAGATTTGTTGTCTCAACCAAAAGGACATCGAAGTTCTTTGGTTATAGGTATAACTTTGTTCAATTAAAGAATATGGGTTAACTTCCAATTAAACAAAGAGGAGGTGTTTTGATGTAAGGTAATTGAGTGATTTTGACAATATACCATCAATTTGGATAGAAAATGTAATGGTTTTACTTTGATCCAACACCACAGGGGTTTACGTGTTGGTTGTTAAAGTTTAGGGAGGTAATTTGTTACAAGACTAAACCACGGGGGATAGTCAATAGTTTTCCCTTTTCTTTATGGCAACTTGCGGTTTTATATTGTCTTGAACGAGGAGGAGGAGGAGGAGTAACAGACCTGGATATTCAAGAAGCTCCCAACAGATTTTGTATGTCTTTCTGCAAGAGATGAAAGAAAAAAAAAAAAAGAGAGAAGAATTAGCTGTACTGCATACACTAACTCTCCAACATCACCAAACGGAACGTAAAGGACAAACCTCAATTTGAAGAGGTGATGTCCTAGGAGAATATCTCTCCACAATCTTCCCTTCTTTGTTAACTAAGAACTTTGTGAAGTTCCATTTGATGCCATCTCCCAATATCCCACCTTTCTCTGATTTTAAGAACTTGTAGAGGGGTGTCGCATTCTTGCCATTCACCTCAATCTATAACATCATGAAGAATTTTGATCAGAGAAATTGAACACATAATATTGGCTCATTGCTTCAACTAAAATGAGGATTAAGTGCCACAAACAAGCAATTAGGCACTGAAACCACATTCAATCCAAAAGTATTTTTGGAAAGAAGGGGAATATCAATCATCTTTTTTCTTTCTCTTAAAGCCAAGCATCTATGAAAGGTAGAAACATGAGATAGTAAGCCCCCTACAAGACAATCACTATAAAGAATAGAGAGGGATCAATTGCTCATGTCCTTCCCTAATTCTGTGTACATACCCATTATTGATTCACAATGCAACATTATGTCCATCATGGCAATATGAGAGCAAAGAAGATAAAGGCTGTGTTTTGGTATTGACAGAAATGTAGCTGTTGAGAGCCACCTTTCTGCGTAGTCAGGGTATTCTTCTTCTAGAGGAGGTAGGTTTTTCCTTGGGGATCTTTGGGCACATTCTGAATTATCCATATTTTGAAATAGAATTATTTATTTACAGAAAAAGAAACACAGTCAGATTGACATTTTTGTTCAAAGAAACTTTGTGACAGCCGGAAATGAATCAAAATGTCTTGATATCGGTTTCAAAATATATTTGCCCCAAGACGCATCCAATTCACACACAAACATTCGGTGGTAATAATTACTGATATTATTTAAGATGGATACACTTGTTTCTAAGATGTCTTTTTTATTTAACAAAAGAATTATTTCAAAAATTCCTGGTTTAAGATCTAAGTTTGCTCTTAATATCTCGTAATATAGACAACAGCTAGTTACACCGCCAAGATTCTATTTTTCAGAAGAGAAACTTCCAATAATTTAGCACATGTTGAATCAAAAATGGCATTACTACAAGCCTTTTTATGTTTAGTGGTTCCTTCCTTATCTTTGAGATATCAGGTTGAATACCTGCAACTAGGATTCAATTCCATCTTTTAAGGAGTGAGGATAGTACACCTAGTTCATTTCCTATGGCCCCCCAAAAGTGCATGCAATACTTGCTATTTATGCTGTTTCTTGACCCACAAACAATTTAACTGCTCTTACACAGAAATGTCTAACAGAATTAATTTTGTATAAATAACATTCACCCGATTACCTTAGCAAATATTGGGAACTCAGCTTTGAACATGGTGCATACAGTTTCCTGAATCTGCTCATTACTTCCTGGTTCTTGCCAAGCGAACTGGTTGCAAGGAAATGCTAAAATTTCAAAACCTGTCGGAACAAAAAGGGACATAAAAGAGACCCTTAAGCTCTTTTAAATAAAAGGAAAACACCAAACAGTAAAATTATAGAATTCTCCAGAAAGAAATACACAGCAGACCTTGGTCTTTGTATTTCTCATACAAAATGTTCAATTCTTTGTAGTTCGATTGTGTTAAGCCACTACAAAAAGAGAGAAAAGGTATGGAAATGTCAAACCGTAGCTAGAAACACTCAAACATGTTGGTGAAATTTAGTCATAGTGGTAGTTCACAAGTTCGTATCAAAAAACATATTGATACAAAATGGAAGAGAAGAGGAAAGAATAAAAGGAGGAAATTATTGAATCCTTCCCAGGATTAGGTTAAGAAACACAAATTTCTGCAGAGAATAATCAATTCATATTTATAATCTCATTATGTAGTGGGATTACATCCTTAATTATACCCCAAGTGTTCTACCAATACTAAAAATACTCTTCCAAACAATCCTAATTGCAAAAATATTACCTAATCAATTAATCAACAGATAAAGAATAAAACTCAATAAAATTCTAATCTTCTATTTTCTTTATGATCCCTATCAATTCTCTCCACCTGAAGGAAAAAAAAAACACTTCTTTGAAGATTTGCAACAACATAAGTACCCTAAGATATCAAATGTTACTTCTCCGAAGAGAGTTGTAAGGGAAGTAAGACTCCAAGAGATCTAAATAAGCTTGTATTCAAAGGAAATAATACTGCAGGTCCCCAGAGTAGAAAACAATCTCTTGACGCATTACATTCTTCACAGTCTTGTGCAAACTGATCTAGGTGGAAGCATGTTAACCAGTAGAGACAAAGTAACATATTGATATAGGATGAGGTGGTAGAGACAAAGTAGCAAAGCAACTCAATCTGTAGATAAACCCTTTGAAACTTGATAATTAGTAACAACTGATATAGGATGAGGTGAATAACTTTTAGGTTCATCAACATCCAACAATTTTGACTTTTGCTCTCATGATTTGAAATGTTATTAGTTAGATCACGTCTATATGTAGATTTGGAGCATGACACAAATATTTACTTGTAAACAAAAAAAAAAGAATCTTTGATATGTATAATTATAGATCTTCAATATAATATATGTATTTGATTTAAAGTACCTTGGTACTTAAAAAACAACAAAGAAAGTTCCCACAAAAAAAATTCTTGATTGGCCTTCAAAAAATCAATCAATTAAGTGGAACAGCAAATGAATTGATCTGTTGTTTACTTGATTACTGATTTTATAAAAGAGAATAAAATTTTGAGTTCGGCAACAAGTTAGGATAAGATACAGTTTGGGATATCACATCTGCTTCTTTTTGGTTATTTTGTTGGCAATTTTATTGTGTGTGTGTGTGAGAGAGAGAGAGAGAGAGAGAGAGAGAAGTCAAAAATGTTTAATAACCATTTACTTCAAAAGTTTAAATTGTTAGAGAGGGATGTAACATAAATATTTATCTAATACTTGTTAAGAACTCTGTTTGCTTGGTAAACACAAAGAAAATTGGAGAATGCATTCTTATTTCATTACCCAACTTGACTGGCTATATATATAGCCTTACAATAACAAAAAAGAGAAAAATCTGCAGCCCACACTTTTCAAGCCTATTAACGTGGTAGAAATCAAAACAAATAACTTATCCCTAAAGAATAGGAATTATTCAAAACAACTAACAGAAACAAATTCTAAAGACTCGATCAACACTAACAACTTCAACATCCTCCCTTAAACTGAATGTCAATTTTCATTCAGTTTATACTTGGATCTGTGCAGACCCCCAAAAGACTTCTCAGCTTTACGAACACATCAAGTTTTATTGGCTTGGTCATTATGTCTGCAACCTGTTCTTGAGTATGACAATGGACCAGCTTTACAACTTCATCTATAGTAAGCTCACGAAGAAAATGAAACCTGACATCTATATGCTTGCTTCGACCATGTAATACAGGATTCTTTGAAAGCTCAATAGCAGAGCTGCTGTCACAAAAGACTGTTGTACCACCATTTTGAACATGATTAAAACCATTCAAAATCCTTCTTACCCAAACTGCTTGACAAGCACATGAAGCTGCAGCAATGAACTCAGCTTCAGTGGTAGACAAAGTGACTATTGGTTGTTTCTTCGATGACCAAGAAATGGCTCCTGAGCTCAGCAAAAACACATAACCTGAAGTACTCTTTCTGTCATCTAAATCTCCAGCGTAGTCACTATCTGTATAGGCAACCAGAAGTCCCTTTCAAATACCTCAGCACTCTTTTGGCTGCCTGAAGATGAAGCTCTGTGGGACGATCCATATACCTACTAAGAAGACTAACCACAAACATAATGTCGGGTCGAGTAGCAGTCAAATACATTAGACTGCCTACTATTTGCTTGTAACGACTACTATCCACCTTTACTCCATTCTCATCTCTCATGAGTTTGCAACCTGGAACAATTGGATTATGAACTGAATTGCATTTATCCATATCAAACCTTTCCAACACCTCCTGCGTATACTTCCTTTGACAGATAAAAATTCCCTCTGAACTTTGCATCACTTCTATACCAAGAAAATATCTCATTTTTCCAAGGTCTGTCATGTTGAACTCACGCATCATAGAATTTTTAATTCAACAAACATATGTTCATCATTGCCCGTAAAAATCAAATCATCAACATAGAGACATACAATTAAAATTTTACCTCCTTCTCCCGCTTTGATAAACAATGTATGCTCATAAGGACACCTCTCGAAACCTTCTTTAGCAAAATAAGACTCTATCCGATTATACCAAGCTCGTGGAGCTTGTTTTAGTCCATATAGAGCCGTATTTAACCTGTAAACTTTCTGTTCATCACCTTTCTTCTCATAACCAGGAGTTTGCTTGAAGAAAACCTCTTCACTAAGTTCTCCATGGAGGAAAGCTGACTTTACATCTAGCTGAAAAATCGTCCAACTTTTCTGAGCTGCAAGAGAAACTACCAATCGAACTGT